TTGCCAGCCCTCTTGTGGGAGACGGAGGACTGACAGAAAATCAAATCTCCCAGCAGAACATCTGCGCAACCACGTGCATTCCCTTAACCATTTCTTGACCGGACATCCAACAGTAAGTGTGCATGCCCACTCCTCGCTGGGGCTTCAGCTGAACAGGGCCAGTGACCACGTGCGGTCCACATTGCACATACCATGGCTGCCCCGGAAGCCAGTCTGGCCTCACCCCCAAGCGTTTCAGAAATTGAGAGGTTTTGAGTCTCAGGTGCCAGACAGCCACCTGTGGCTGTAAGCGCTTCTTTGGACGAATGTCAGACCCTTTGGTGGGTATTGAAGTGAGAAAGTATTGAAGTGGCGTGGCCTCCCAGCCATTCTGAACTTGAGAATCAGGTCTCCAAAAGGGAAATTTTCAGGATCAAGGTCCGATACGTCTGAACGTTTGCGATGCCATTGGCGCAAGTCACCATGCCAAATCCGGTGTCCACATCTTCTCACTCTCTACACCTGGCAAATGGATTCGCACTTCGTGTTTTTGGTGCGTTCGAAACACCTTCCCAGTGTTTCTGCACCATGACATGCAAAACGCAAAAACCATGACATGCGTTGTGTTGCGCCTCGGTAGGGGGACCACGCAAATTGACCCAGGAAACTCTTGGTCAGGGGTATCTGCGCATGCTCACGTCTGGCCACCTGGAAACGAAAGGTCAACTCCCGCTTCCGCTCGTTCAATCTCCCGAATGAAATCATCGATTCTGCAGCTGTTGCTCAGAATGGAGGCCTGCCAAATGGACTTCCCCAGCTCAACACCAAGATCTCGAGCGCTGAAGCCCCAAAAGTCCACATCCAAGCAGTCCTCATGGCCAGACCGGAGGGAACCCGAAATCAAGTGCTTTGGGGGCACTAAGAGCCAACATACTACGTGTTGGGTAAACGGGGGGGGTTAGCCCCGAACGCAACACACCGAGAATGAAAAAACCATGTGCTTTACAGGGCTTCGCGGCTTTCCGACACTCAACTTATCGTCTTGCAGCTCATGAGTTGCAAGACGATAAGTTGAATGCGTCTCGACGGAAACATGCCACCCGCCTACTCCATGTACAGCTTGACAAGGCTCATTTTCCAACCGCCAGACATCAGTCTTGTTATTGTTCCCAATTGAGCCATTTGAGCTCACTGTGCATTTGAGCGGGCTTCTCTATGTATTCTGACAGCCTCGAGCATTGAGTCCAACCCTGGATGTTGGCGGAACCACAACGCTGCGAGGCCTTTCAACGTGCTGTCGTTGCAGCTTTGCATCGCAACGGCCAAGAAGACCCATTCTACGCAGTGTTAAAACAAACCTCGAACGTCGAGCCCATCATGTCCTCTAAGCCAAGAAAAGCGGTCACCGAGCGAACGAAAGGCCACCGAGTCGACAAATCAACGTCAAAGTCGATGTACGCGAGTAGTAACACGGACGAAACTGACCCCACCCCCCCCAACCCCCCCACCCTGAAAGACCAATCAACGGATCGGATAGATGTTGCGGGCGGGGCTAACCCCCCCGTTGGCACTACGTGTTGTTCCAAGCAGGCTCCTGGGAAAAGGCAGTGAAATCGCTTAAGAACCTTCTGTTCAGGTGCGCCATGGTGCACAGGGTCATCTAGTTGCAGTTGAGTGACAGCTGTCAACGTCACCAAGCGCAGCAAGCTGTTTTGAAGCTGTAAAAATTTCTCGAAGTCATGCCTGAGGAGCTTACTGTAGCAGCTATTGTATGAATAGCTGCAAGAGCAACAGGGGCGCAAAGGTTTTGGATTCGACATAACTCCCATACAGACTCGCTTGGTTGCTTTACAGGCCAAGTCTCTCCAGCAGGCATTCCTGGCCTAAGAGTCGCAGATCCGCACGATATATCCGCACGCAGGGCACGTGGCAGTCACAAACCAGGGAGCCCGACCATGGACAATGAACTGTGCAATATCCCCAACAAGGCAATTGCTGGCAAAGGCCTGAACAGTCTGGAGTTGGGCCTTCTAGTGAATGATAGTGAATACATCTTCCCATATGTGTTTATCATGGACTGAATCTCTCCATTTCTCTGAAGTCTAAGGAGTCTAACCTACCATGTGAGAAGGCCTTGGATGTTCCAGTATGCATCAAATGCGAGACTGTGAAGCTGCTAATAAGGCTAAGTGGTTGGGAGTTGGGAGTTTGTAAATGTTGTATGTAATGCAATAATGATTATATATACAATATTGTAGTAGTCTATTGTATACACATGTTCATCTACTTTGTGCCACCCTGCTGGGATCTGTGTTTGAGCTCAAGATTATTGAAGCTGCTTTCCTTTGTGTGCAGCATGGGGTAGAATGTAAAGTGGCATTGTTGCCCACCCAAGTGAAAGCTGTTGGCACCTGAGTTAACATACTCGGTGTACGCGTCATCTCCAAGTCTGTATTGCGGCAGGTTTTGCTATCCTCAGCTTCAACGCCCATGATTAAAGAAGAAATCTTGTGAGCAATGAACTCTTCTAAAGCTTGAACATCTACAAAGCAAAGGTTGCGCAAACCGATACGGTCATTCTTGGGCCAAGCCCCAACACCCTGTCGGCACTGACGAGGTTCAGGTCTAAAGCGCTCTCTCGAGTGGTTCAGCAAGTGGGCGACAAAGTTCCTCTCGTTGATGCCACTGATCCACATGCCCTTCCGAATGAAGGAGTAGAACTCAGATGCCTGCGTTATGGAGCGCAAAATATGCTTGCATGCAAAGGCGTTGAATCCACGCTCTTCCAGAAAGGCTCGTTTTGTTTGTGATGTAAAAAAGCTGAGTTTCTTTCACATGTGCCACCTCCTGGCAACGACAGAAGTCTACATAGCCCCACTGGTGCCGCACCAGAATGGAAAAGCTCCTCCAAATGGAAGATTCTCTCCTGCAACGTGGTGAGGCGTTGTCGACCCAAAAAGGAGTTCCCACGGATCGCGCGGTGGCTCCTCACTAAGATCCTTCTCAGGCTTGTGTTGAGCTTCCTTCGAAAGGCTTCCAATGTCACCTCAAATCGTCAATCCTCGCTGCTACAAATGCTGGGCATAACATTCAACATGATCTAAAAGCAACACCCATAGCCACAGCCAGATTCTTACTGCGGGATTGACCAGGGTTGGTATGAAAGAAGCTAGCAGGTCCCATTGGACTGTTCCTGGACGGGATGGCAAGTGGCCTGGAACCATGGTGTTAGATGTTTCCGCCTTTCGTGTCGACAAGGCCATCTTTCGCGACCAAGAGGTCATTCTTCTGTCCGAGACTGCTGTGAGTCTTCGGCGTTCATGACCCGTGGGAGTTTCGATTTGCGTCCACCGAAGATGAGCGATTTTGTGTCGTTAAACGTTGTCGTTGACCCTGCCAGTTTCTGCAATTTTCTGCAAAGGGTGCTGGTGCTGGTAAAATTTGCATACACAAGTGAGACTGTGGCGATCTTGGGGTTTGCCCTGTGCCTGTGCACCTGAGCCGGAGCCGGAGGATAGCAGCGATGCCCTGAGGCGCTCAAGAAGAGTCAAGTGGCATAGTACTGCATCAAGAAGTACCAGGCGACTTCCATGCCCTTGGGTCTAAGGCCTGACACCGGGAAAAACTAAGGACCTAATAAGGCCAAATCCAAGAATGAAAGCGCTGTTTCTTTCGCAAGACTAGATGGCGACAAGAAAGAAAGAAATAAAGAAAGAAAGAAAGGCATTGGTTTGCCTGTGGAGATTGAGGGTAACCAAAACAAGGAACCTGCCGCCGACTTCTTGATCGGGAAATTCCGTCCAAACGCCTCTGCACCTCCACCTGGTGGTATTCTTCAAAAACGCTCCCTGCAGAAACCACGGCCTGCTTCCGTGTCGTTCACCATCTCGGACATGGAATTGAGCACAGTCCTGGAAAGGAACTTGGGCACTTATTTCACTCATGCTCCGTTTCAAACCCAACAAGATCGGGAGCTATTGAACGATTGAACTGGATATAACCCGTAAACACTTCGCGGTTGACCCTCGGTCATGAGTCTTGCCACCACACGCTGTGCAGCTTGAGCACCATGACTCTCCCGGCTGATGTGCTTCAGCTCATCCAAGAATTCTGGCAAGCTGCGGTCCTTGCTTCGCACCACAAAGACCAATACATCAGAAATGCACGAGCACGGCCATCACAGCTACAAGACGTTTTTCTTCCAGAATTGGCCCCAAATGGCCCTAATGCGTTGTCCTCGACCGCGAGAAAGCCAACAAAGGCCTCCAAAACGGAAGAAAGAAGTATACCTAGGCTCTCTTGCCAAATGAAATTGTGTGTTTTCGCGTGAAGACCTGCCTCTGGCCCAACGGAAACATGTCGCGGTGCACAGCAGCGCTCAAAGGTGAAGTCTCCGTCAAAGCATTCTAGCCTGCCACCTGGGATGGATAAAGCATCAACACAACGAAGCGAACACTGAGACTGCACAGCCTTCGCACATATTGTCATGCTCAGCTGCTGCTTCCTCATGTTTGCTTTCTTGCCTGTGCTATTGGCATGTTCGCTCTTTTGTGTCAAGCCCAGCAGCCATAGCAGCAAATGGACCGTGCAAAGTCATCCCAACAAGCAGCGGAGCTTGCTGACTCTGCTGGTTGCATGGATGGCATCCATGCGCCCGCAGCCGCTCATGTCCATGTGGGCCAATGATTTCCCAGCTGTTTGGTGGGGTTTTTGGAGGGATGGCTCGGCCGTTGTTAGGCCGGTTAAGGTCGGTTCGAGACGTTCAAGACTCCTGCTTGGCTACAGGATCATATGATACCCAATTGAATGTTGCCATCTTGACTCGTGGCTGGTCTGCTTTTTTAACCCCAGCGGGGGGCTGAATGAATGACAAGGCGGCCGAATCCTTCGCAGCGTGCCATTTCAATTTGGCTTCGTTTTGCTTTATCTTGCCTTCAGTGTGTTCAATGGAGATTGGCGGATAGCCTTCAGATACAATTATAGACTGCTTGACTCCTGGCCCTCCAATTCACCCAAGGCACCTCTTGCACTGCCAAAGCTTCTGCTACCCAAGCCTCACCGAGGACACAGAGGGCCAACAAATGTCTTCAACAACGAGCACCTGGTCACCACCTCCTAGCAAGATTGCGAAAACTCATTGTATATATATATATATATATCAGATCGTTCTACAGCACCAACCTATGCTGGGCCCTTTCTTGATTGAAGTGTGCAAAAGCCAGCGATGGGTGAACTGTGCGTACCCTGACACTCACTCCATGTATGGCATATCTGCCTACATTGGGTCAATGTAGGTATATACGGTATATATTCCAAACGACATGCAGTGTCTGGGATGGATGAACTGTATGACTACAGTACTGGCACAGGATGAAAAACTCGGATCCGAGGTCAATGAATGGCGCTAGAAGGTATGGTAGACTCCAGCAGAGTGACAGTTCATCCAGCTGCAAGTACAGTTTCACCAGCAATGTGGCCTGAAACCTGCCCTAATCCAGCAATCGTTTCTCACATATACTCTCCAGAGTATATATAAATGGAAAGCATCGGTGCCGGTTTTTCAACCCCATGAAGCCCCACGAGTTCGGCTTTTTTGGGTGATGCCATGAAACAGCTACGCAATCGGCCCTGTCAGCAAAGCACTCCAGCCAGCAACAACAAACGACAAGAAGTTCTTAGTAAGAAGCCAATGGCTTCGAAGGGCCTCATCCATCTCAACGCCAATCTCCAACAGACTGGCCTTCCAACATGAATGGATGCAGTTCTTGCAAAAGATATGCTTATTCTGGCTGCTGGCATTCATGTGTGATTTTCTTCATTCCTGTGGAATGAATGTATATTTGCATCAATGAACTACGGTGATCTGATCCCTGCAATGAGATGAAGAGACATGCCTTTGATATCACGTCTAATTTTGCATGGCAGGTGTAGTTGATGCGGAATGTAGCCAACGCTTTTCACAGCAAACGAGCTCTGAAAGCCTCTGCGAAAATTGCCAAAGCTTCACAAAATAGCTGCCCCGCGCCGTAGAAGGATAAAACACCTGAGAAGCCAGAAGGTGTTGCTCAGCCGCTGCCAAAGCTGCAAACAAGTTTTGATCTCGATTCAGAACTGCAGTTCATCAATATTATGAGATGATGAAGCTTCACAAAGCTCACAAAGCCCGTGGTGGGGCGCCTTCCCGAGAGCCTTCAGTGACAGCCAGAACACGGCAGAGCCAAAGAGCTTGTTCCTAGTGTCAGTCGTCTGCAGCTCAGTGGGTTGAATTGGTCTCTCGCATTGCAGCACAAAACAGAAAATGCAAGCAGGCCGCGTAGGGCACAATTCCTCTGCATTCTCACTATGTTCTCTAATTCTCTAATATGAATGTCAATGTGGCAAAGCCACAATACAACAAACTCCTCTCTGAACCCCCACAACATAATTGTATGACGCAATGCAAAATACATGCTCATCCAAACAGCCCACAAGAAACTCTCCTTGGAGTCCCAATCGGTGGTTGGAGTGTCGAACCACAACCTGGTGCTGTGCAAGTGCCCACAGAAAGGTGCAGGCAAATTGGACTCACCAGTGTCAGAGATCTTCCAAATCGAATGACAAGTAGTAAGAATGCTCCGTTCGTAGCTTCCTTGCTCCTAGTAGTAAGGCCAGGAGTAGAAGCGTCCTTGCTCCTAGAATGACAGGAAGACTTTGTTGCATCAGGTTCAAGGAATTCCGACTTGCTCTCTGTTGCTCCCGACTGACTGACCGACTGACTCACTGACCGGCTGACTGACTGGCTGACCGACAGACTGACTGGCCCTTACTCTCCTTCACTCCAACGGAAAGATGTGCTGGCGATACACTGTGATGCTGGGGATACACTGTGATGCATCGCACTATCGCTGGGATTTGAAGACCTGTGCTCTTTGCTTGACAAGTTGAAGGTGCTACCACAAGGAGTTGGTGGCGAATAGCAACCTTTCGCCGTTCTCCACCAAATCCCCCACACAAACACCAAATCCTCCTATGCCCCTTTAATGGGATCGCAGAGTTCCATCTAACAACGATGGCCTCCAACCTAGTAGCAATCCTCAGTACCAGACCTCTTGAGGCTCTTCCCCAGCGCCGGCAGCGACCGGAGCTCTGAGGCATCCTTCACTGCCTCAAGGCCTGAAGGTGAAGCTAACAGAGCTCCCAGCACCGAGAAGAGATGTCCTCGGAACAATTCCAACAAAAGAAGCAAAATCGAGTGATTCCGTGATTTCATCGTGTGTTTCTGGCCCAATTTATTGCAAGTCGCAATTCCAGCAAAGAGTATACTGCAAATGTCAGAATGAAGACATCGAGAGTCTGATGATATCAACCAGGCGTCGCAGGGCATCCACCACAGCACTTGCGGCAGCCTCCGGTGTGGCTGTCCAGCTTGATGGGCGGCCATCTTCTTGGGCAACTGCCATCCTCGCCGGTCCAAGGCTGAAGGACTCTGTCTGCTGATTTGTACTTGGTTACAAAAGGGGCATGTCAACAATCCATGAGGTTAACTAAACTCATCTTTGATTTCCAACTAGAGGATGCTAGGACTTGTACATTTGAGGATAGAGTTTACGATAAAGCATAAAACATGATGCTGGTCATGCCTGTCAACATTAGTGCAATAATCGGCATCACCACTAGACCAAATGGAGAATGCATGTGGACGGTGAAGTTTGCTGAATTGCTTGAGAGGATTGTTCAAATCCTTTTGCTGGGATTGTTTTTCGACTGAGAAGAAGCGCTCGCATCAGTGGTGCAGAGACCCGTGTCAATCCATGCCGATAGGAAAATATCGTACGCATAAGTGGCATCTGTCTTCTACTTCTACCGCACAGAATGCTCCTAGTCTCTACCAAGATGGTCGCCTAAACAGCAAATGAACTTGCGACTACTCAAAAAAGAAAAGCAGTCAAAGCCAAGAGGGAAGTTGCTTGCGTGGGATCATGATTCCTGCGTTTATGTGGCCTGGTCACATGGTCACACATTGCGAGTGTCGGACGAAAGCTGCGTGAATCTCAACGTCAGCAAACAACACTCGCTCCTCTTCTAAAACCATCCATGAACCGGCTGCTATGTATGTAAGCTTTGTTAACAGTGAAATCGCCATGTGGAAGGCGCATACTCAATTCGTAGCATGGCTCTGCTGCAGGATTGGACAAACAAAGACTTAGATATTCCAGCAGCAGTTGGTGCTCTGGAGCTGTTTTCAATTGCAGACATATTTGCAGCATAAAAAAGGCTATGATCGCTTGAGACTGGCGGTTCATGGAAAGTCATTGCAAGGGATCCCTCGACTTGTGCTTTAAAATGCTCGCTGAACAGAAGCAACACAAATTCACTGCAAGGTTTTAGTCTTGTCTATTGAACATGCTGCACAGCAATGTGTCCAAGTGTGGAAACCATCAAACGACTGCAAATACGAAAACGGGGCCCAGGGCCTCCTTTGACCAAATACAATTGCATGTATCCGTGATGAAAAAGTCTCTTTGCCCAAGATTGACATGGAGCTGACGGTAAAGGCAGACAGGGCAGCAGGACCGTGCCAATTTGACTTTGAGTGTCTCGCACATGCAGGAAGACCCGGATGGCCTCAAAACTCCCCACGCTTAATTCAGCTTTGTGGGCCTTGAAACTCTCAAAGATCCTACAAATCACCTGGGACCTTCTTGTTACTAGTAGCTTCTTGCCACTAGTAGTAAGGCCGGGAGCTACTAGTAGCGTCCTTGCTACTAGTAGCGATGCCCTTTGCTACTAGTAGCGATGCACCTTGTTCCTAGATCGGAAGACTGGGCCTGATGCAAGACGACTGAGATCCTTTCTTCTCGCTCTTCGCTCTTTTGATTGTTGCTGCTACCGCAGCGTTGGCTTCCAGCTTGAAGAACTTACCAAAAGCCCGCCTTGGCGCTGCACGAAAACCTCCACCAGCGATGGCAGCCAAAGGCCTGCACTGTCCATGTTGAATGTACCGACGTACGGATTTTGTGTTTGCAAGTCTACAGCTTAAAGTTTAAAGGGAGCACGGATCCACACCAAACCATAGATGCTGTCAAATCCATACACCGGGCTAACTTACCAGTATTTGCCGTATATACAACATGTGTTCCCAGTCCTCCCGCTCTGAAGAAGGTGGCGTTGCTGGGTAGGAGCGACAAACTGGCTATGTGTGCAATCGTCGTGGGGAACCGATGGTGCCTAAGGTGTGACTATCATGAAAAGCCACTCCCTGTGCTTCAAGAGCATTTAATAAATTCCGCCACCGGGAGTCGAACCCGGATCGCTCGGGTGAGAGCCGAGTATCCTAACCAGCTAGACTATAGCGGATTCTGTTGGACACAAGAGAGAGCCACTGTACCGCACGATGAATGTGTATTGAGACGGAGGGGCCGGCAGGCACGGGTGTGGTCATTGACGTGTACTGCATGGCATCTTATGGAGGAAGCCGTGACCAGGTTGAGACACTTGGAGCCCATGTGTAGGTTTCGACCAAAAGGTGCTGAAGTGAAGACTTTTGAGTAAGAGTCTTACCTTCTCAGTCACTGCGGCAGACCAAGAAGTTCTAGTGGGCTACGAGAGCCTGTCAGAAAACGTCTGGCAGCGCAGGCCCCGCACAAACCCCACAGAAATGGCCATGGCCCGGCTTCAAGTGGCCTCCGATGCCTTTCCAGTGATTCAGTCTGATACCTCGCCAACTCCTGGCAGACAACATGGCACCGGCCAAGCATGTGAAAGTTGACTCAGTTGGGCATATGTGAGCGTGATGATTTCCAGCCAGATCATACTAAACTACACAAAGGTCTGAAAAGACCCACAAACCCTAGAGGTATTGAAAGGTTGTGAGCATTTACATGGGCACTCAAGAGCGCACCGTTAAAAAGTGTAATTTGGGCACTTTATTACTGTGCACACATTGTACAAACATGAAAGGAAACCGTGTCACCGAAGGATTCATCAAATCAGTCCCTACCCATCTCCAAGCGACTTTTGGCATCAAGCACGCTGGGCTGGGGCTGGAATGATAGTATTATGCAGTGTAACCCTGCAACGTCCCCGTTCATATTCCTGCAAGTAGTCACCACTACAGATCGCAGTCGGCCAGTCCTACCGGTCCCCCCATTGTCAAAAGGACTTCATCCGATTTTTGCAGTATAGTGTGCCAGAAAAGGACCGCCCAAACACAAAAACTGCAAGACTGGGAAAGTAGCCTAAAGTCCAAGTGGTTGGAAAACTGCAAGTGGTTTAGTCTAGATGGTTTAGGGATTGATATGAGCAGCCCCCCCGCCATGGGAACTCCGGATCGCCCGCCTCGCCTCGCGCAGGCGTCGGTTCTCGTCCTCCAAGACAGTTCGCTCGGAGCCTCCCAGCGGGGGTCCCAGGACGAAAAACGTCACAGCTTCTTACTAATAGCTTCTTGCTACTGGTAGTACGGCCAGGAGCCCCTAGTAGCTTCTTGCTCCCAGCAGCGATGCCAGGAGCCCGTACTTTGGAAAAACGGCACTCGTCTCTCTGGGACTCACGTTTCGTCTCTGGACTTACAAGCCCTGGAATGTCCTCATCCATACAAGTTATATAACTATTTCAAGGCTGCAACTGAGCCGGACAGAGACTAACCTTTACGAGGATCTCATGATTAGCACCTTGCCTGACTCACAGACACTGCTACTGCTTCTATTGCGCCTCACAGAAATGTTGTGAGCAGTCTGACGATTCTGCATTTGATTTCGATAAATGTGCGTGTATAGTACATCCGAAGACTAATCCAAATTCAATGTCTTTTGGAGGCTCTTCGATTTCGGGACGGTCCGATTTCCGGACATGCTGTCAATCTGTCAATCCTGACATGGGGGAGCCTCATGAATCATGAGACTCATAAGAGGGCAGCATAGCAACAGCAGCAGACTAACATTGAAATCTGGAAGTCGAAAATAGAAACCCTTGCTGAGGCCTCCCCAGTGCCTCAAAAACAGTTCCCACGACACACCTTGAGTGCGTTCCACGTCAAACACAGTTCTGTACTCAAAAAGGTGTTTGCATCACCAGCAAGCCATCCTCAATGTACTTCTGGCAGTGAGGACCCGAAGTGGCTGGTTTCAGCAGCCAGTTCTCCAAGTCAACACAGTTGAAAACCGTCACCACTAGTATACCTCCACAACATATCAAAAAAGAGGAGCGATGTTTCTGTTATCATTTTACTTCTGGGAACTGGCTGCTGGGCATGTGATTCTGTGCTTCGCAAATCGTCAATGGAGCTCTCTGTGGGTCAAATTTTGTCAAACCAACGAAGGGCTTTCTTAATCTGGTGATCGTTCTTTGTACAATATCATATTACTACCCATCATGACCCAGGACCTCCATGCAGTCAGTGTGCTTCATGAGGTCGCTTCATTCAGGACCTCCATGACGGTCCGGACGCGGTGTGCTCACCCGAACGCCCTCGGTGAGTCGCTTCAACTGTCCCAGGAGTCGCTTCAGCACCCGGCGGTGCGCGCCCGACGCGGCCAGTTGCAAGGCGCGCAAGGTCTCATCAACAGTGGAGGGGAGCAACTCCTCAACGACATCGCAGTGGCCCCCTTGAGCAGCCAGGTCCAGTGGTGTCGTCCCCGCTTGTGAAGCAACGGAGGGAAGTGCTTTCCTCGCCAGGAGCAAGCATACTAGATTGTGATGGCCAGCATGTGCCGCGTCATGTAGTGGAGAAAAGCCGAGGTGATCACTCACACATTCAGCACCTGCATCCAACAGCATTGTAGCGATCTCTGTGTGGCCAGAACGAGCAGCACTGTGCAATGGTGTTGCACCACCTACTGCAGGGTGTGAGGGGTCTGCACCAGCAGCCAATAAAATGGACACAGCTTTCGATTGGCCCATGCTAGTGGCAACATGCAAGGCTGTGAAGCCATCTGATGTGGCAACGTCCAGTTGGGGCACCTGCGTGAGCAATGCCGTTAACGACTCGACCTCTCCCAGCTCTGCTGCAATGTGGAAGGAGGTCACCCCGAGGACAGTGTTTTCCTCAAGGGGATTGGATCTATCTGGATTCCTCTCCATCACTAAGCTTGCTTTTGCTTCTATTTGGATTGTCTCAGCTTCATGCTCATCCATTTCAGCCTCCACGCTGATGGTACTCTGCTCTTGGTGGTGGGGTGGATCTGAATCTTGAATTGCAACTCTCGTCCTCTCGTTGCATTCTTCGACAAACTTGGGGGTCATGTTGCAAGACCCTGTTCCAAGCTGCATTTGTGAGATGCTGCCATTCTCCTCCTTTTCTACATTCACCACAACTTCAGCACACACGCTGAGTTTGTCATCAATGTTCTCGTGCTCGCTCGCATACTCGTCACTGGGGCAGAAGAGGAGGTTAGCATCGTTTTCATGCATCTTAACTTCAATGACAACATCCGCAGCCAAGGAAAAGTCTTCAGCATCTGGCGTGGAGGTCTTGCGGGGCAGCAAAGACCTGCTGATGCAGGGGTCTACTGAATTGGCTGCCTCGAGATCTGCCTCGAAGTAATCCA